TCGAAGAAACTGTCATGGGAGAGACAGAGATGACTTGGTTCTCGTTAAGCGTATTTTGTGAGAGTCGAGATAAGCTCGATCTACGGGTCGAGCCAAATCACATGATGCTGATCTTGTTAAACGAACTTGGTTTTCCACCTTTTGCATCTGTAGCGTATCTTTCCCTGAGCCAAATACATCGTTATGTTTGACGTCGACGAATCTTGCTGCATCAGTTACAACGGACGGCTTTTCTTTGGGTTTCCTACTCTTCAAAATCTCGAGCACGGCGTTCCTAAAACGGCGATCTCTGTAGCAGTAAATGAGTGGATTAGCTACAGAATTTAGATACAAAAATATGTCCGCTACACGCATCGCCAAACGTTGACGAAAGACTGGATAAATTCCTTGCAACATACCGCCAAGAATACTTGGCAAGAAGGAAAGAATCAGGGCAATCGTAACTACGGCAGCGGTCATAGCTATTCTGCGTTCCTGTTTTACGCTCACCAACTCGCTGACTTGAAGAATTTGACTTATTTTGCGTTTGCGAACTCCAAGGTACACCATGACATAAAAATATACGATAAGACTTAGGGCAGATATTAGCAAAACTGAAAGGACGATGAGGAAAATTTCCAGAGCTAAAACCCCTTCATTCGCCCTCATCATTCCTGTGAGCGGTGCCGTGATAAATTGTGGTGATACAGTTACAATTGCTAATACCCAAGCTACCATCGCCAGCTTTTTCATACGGCCTTTAGTCACCATCACTTTGTAGTCAATCCATTTTCGAATGGCCACGTACCTTTCCCAAGCAATCATTGTCAGATGGAAAAACGAACAAATCGTGAGAAAGACCGTGGACGATATGGCCACAAAGTCCAACACGCAAATGTAATGGTCAGCCAGTACTTGATGAGTGACTAACAGTTCAACCACGGCAGATAACGGTATACTTAAACTTCCTACTAGAACATCTGTAACGGCCAAACTTGATAACAAGATATTGGAAGCTCTCTGCAGTTCTTTTCTTTGCTTTACTGCTATGATTATTAGCGCGTTCAAAAGAACCGCAAGTGGAGAAATTATAGATGCGACAGCGGCCAAGACCCAGGGAGAAGTAGTGTCATGTAAATCCCAAACTAAGTGTGGGTCATGTGGGCAATAAAACACTGACCTGGTACTGTTAGGAAATATGGTCGCTCTTTCTGTTTCGTTTGGGCCCAT